TCGTGTGCTATTTGACTTTTGTTGCACACTGGCTTTTTAAAGAGGACCTATTATGCTATATTTGAAAAATATATTGTAGGGCCATGCCTATATGAAACATGTCTGTGAAGTTTTTTTTTCAAAATACCAAACAGTTCACCCATTGTAGCCATGCCTCATACTGCTCATACCCCTCTTTTGAAGCCCTGTTAGAGAAACGCGGATCTTGGGTCCTTAGCTTGAAAAAAAGGAAAGAAGAGGAGGCGGAGCTAATGCCTGATCAGAATTCAACCGGAGATGAAGTTAAATTCTGCTGTGATAAAACGCCATCCTGTTCCAAACCACATCAAGGATTATTTCTGAAACAGTATGGAGCTCAAATGCTTTTTCTCTTGCAGGTTTATCACAAGGTCTTCTCCTTTTTAAACACATGTGCTCTCCAGTACAGGTTAGCTCTGAGTGTTAGCGAGGCTTGCTAATGTAAACAAAGACGAGATTACGTCCAAAACATGTCAGGCATTGTTTCTGATGGCAACTTTCTGTGGGTCCACCAACGTCACAGCGGATGGAAATCTGTATCCGCTCGTTGTACACCCGTTTTTAAAAGATTTGGGTATGGAGGAAAAGAGAGAGGGTTTTATTTTCTGACGCTGCGTGAGTTCCCCGACACACCGGGGACACATATTTATGGATAAAAGATATTTTGCATGATAGGTCCCCTTTAAGGTTGTATCTAATTGTTTTTGCATTTTGTGAAATTGTCAAAATGTATTTCAGCTGCATTTATTATTGTGGTAAACGGTCTGAAGGACTTTCAGTTTTAGCACAAATTTATTTTCAATGTCAATACCGTACACATATTATGAGTTTTGGTTTGAACCTACATCAAGTCAGGTAATTGCAAGTTTGTGAATTCCTGATAGACTTAAAACTTAATAATCTCTTTGTGAATGCAGAGTAACTTAATAATATGTAAACCTAGAATTGTTGTTGGAAACTGCATTTGTATGACATCATTCAAGAAACATGACTTTATGACATTAGCATTGGTTAAGTTTCAAACCATATGATTTGTAGTTTTTGCGAGGACAGGTTCCCCCGTAATACGGAGATACTCACCAAAGATCCAACTTATCCAGTGCCAGGTCGTTGATGCTGGAACCAGCTCCGCTATCAACAAACGTGGGTGAGCGGGCAAAGTCGATGTACTGAAGTCTCAACCTTTTGATGGGGGCGTCTTGTAAGTTCATCAAAGCCATACTGAGGAGGTTCTCATTGAATTTGCCTCTGTGAAAGACGAGCTGTTGGGCTGTGATGTCTTTTAAACCCTTGAAAATGTCCTCATCTCCCATGTAGTACATGAACTCAAAGATGTTTCGGAATTGGATGGCCCTGAAGGTCTTGTTGGCAATGTCCTGTAGCATGTAGGGAAGAGCACGTGGCAGTTGATCTATGGCCATATCAAAGCCCATATCTCTTGTCTGGATGACTTCTAAACTTCCAGGCTCGTAGTAACTTAGATGGGATGAACATTTAATTGCAAACTCCTGTAACGTAATGTTCTTCAGGGGCTGAAAATCAGCTTTCTTTAGACCCATCACCAGAGGGCCACCCAGAGACAGAACTTTCAGTTTGACAAATTTGGAAAAGCTATGAGCCAACGTCGCACTTTTGTAAAAGTTATTGGACATGTAGAGCTTTTTCAGATTCAACAGAGTAGACAAAGCTGCGGCAGGAATTTCCTCCAGGGAGTTATTGAAGATGTTAAGATGCTCCAGCAGCATGTTGTTTTTAAAGGCATCTTTGTCAATGTGTGAAATGTTATTGTACTGCAGCTCTAGGGTGTGAAGCTGAGGGAGGCGGAGGAAGTCATCAACACGGACAGCTTGAAGTTTATTGTAAGAGAGATCTATCTCTTCCAGTGTGGATGGAAATTGTCTCCACGGGATATTTTCGTACTGTCTTCCCAGACAGTCTGCCGAGCGGCCGGATCTGTAGATGCGACAGGATTCTCCGTCAGTGTTCGTGGTGCGTTGGGAGGATGGAGTTGGGGATGCGAGTGCTCCAAGAAGAAGAGCACTTAAATGAACCCATCTCCACATCATGGTGGCAGACTTGTAAAATAAACAAGAAAAGGAGAGATTAGATGTTGGTATTTTATTTGTATTTACATAAAAGTGGCAGAACATTGACCCACATTGTTTTTAGAAGCATGGGTTTACTTTCAAATGAAAAAGAATACACAATGCCTTAAAGGTCCCCATGATACTGTTTTTCATCAATATATTATAGGTCTCAAGATATATACAGAACCTGTCTCTGATTGGCTGAAACACCAAACAGATCATTGCAGCATTACCCATAATCCCCTCTGTTTCAGCTCTGTTTCAAAAGTGCTGATTCTCTGTCTGTCACTTTAGATGAAAATAAGGAGCCACTAATTTAAAACAGGCTATAGGGGCGAGTGCCATC